AATAAAAACAGGATCGGCACATCCCCTGGGCCAAGTGGGCTACCAGAGAGGGGGAGCACTGAGCATATCTCTGTAAAGAGTAGTTCACATTCAGTACATTTAAGTCTGGGAGAAGGTAAAAATGTCTCTCTCTGATCCCTCTCTCAGGTCTCTCTCTAGTCTCTCTGGGCTCTCTCTCTAGTCTCGCTCTCTTTGGTCTCTCTCTCTGGTCTCTCTCTCTGGTCTCTCTCTCTGGTCTCCCTCTCCTGTCCCTCTCTCTGGTCTCTCTCCGGTCTCTCTCTCTGGTCTCCCTCTTCAGTCTCCCTCTCCGGTCTCTCTCTCTGGTCTCCCTCTCCCGTCGCTCTCTGGTCTCTCTCTCCGGTCACTCTCTGGCCGTTTTTCTCGCTGGTCTTTCTCTCTGGTCTATCTCTCTTGTCTCTCTCTGGTCTATCTCTCCGTTCTATCTCTCTGGTCTCACTCTGGTCTCTCTCTCCGGTTTCTCTCTCTCTCTGGTCTCTTTCTCTGGTCTCTCTCAGAGAGTTGCTTCTAATCAACATCTTTGCTGATGCTTACAGGGATTTAACATCTGTGCCAGCACAATTCAAAATGATTCAATGAGGTTTAATAATTGACAAAATTCTTTATACTTTGACTCGAGTTGAAATGGCACCTACTAAAAACTGATGAAACTTGCAGTAAGTGTTGTGTTCTCTCTCTCTCTGCAGGCAAACGATGTAATCTGGGGAACGGAAACAGAGGGCGGAGAGTGGCGTATAGAAAAACACCTTTAAGTGCTCTAATGAAAGAGTAAAGTTTTTGTTTATACCACAAATGTCTTCTGAAATAATTGCCTGAAGAAGGATGCAAAAAGGTGTGTCAAGTGTGCCCTAATTAGCAATGGCAGAGACTTGCACCACTGCAGGCTGTCTCTCAAGTAATCAAAGGGGAGCCACAACTAAAACCAACCAAACAAGTCAAAAAGCTGCTTTTTATAGAACATGTAAAAGGCCTACAGTGGCATGATGGCATAAAGACATATATTTATATTTATACCAATGTCTCTGCTAATAAATATCTGCATATGTGTAAGGAGTATAAAGAAGGCCTCATGAGATTGAAGAGAGAGAATAGAAACTGATCAGCATCGCACAAAGAAACAAACACAACTCATCTTAGATTAGGGATTATAAATGTGACATTCTTTTGTAATTTGAGAGGAGACAAGAAAATATTCTTTGGTGTTATTAAATCATGTGGTTTCAACAGGGCCACTCCCGTGTTCTGCTGGTCCTCTCCTGTCTTTCACATCTTCTCTGCCTCCAGAACAGTGATTCACTTTAGCCACTCTTCCATATTTACCAAAATCACAAAGAACCAACATCAGCTGCTAAATCTACATAAACAGACCCTGCGCTCCACTGAGCATGTGCAGCCGGCCGTGTGCACGTCAAAAGGAGACGTGTGATTGGTGCTGAGCAAACCTGACAAGCAACAAATATTGGTGAACATTGAATTTTTGAATAAACATCTCCCTAAACACCTTTAAGGGAGACATGCAGTAGAAATCAGAAGTTATATGTAAAGACATTTCTAACATGAGAGCGGCCATTCTTCTAAAATACTTTCCTGACATTTGATTCCAGACTGTGAAACAAATAAATCATACGTCTCTAACAGTTCATGTGAACTCCTGTTTAGACAGAATGATGCAAAAATAGTCTTAATTACACTACAACACTGTTCCCCCATCAAAAACAGACGCTAGTTACAGAAACTTCTGGCATAGACACATCCCCACCCCTTCTGTTGAAATGTTCCATTTCCAAACTCCGGACTCCATCATGGATTGAAATGTTTCCAGCTTTTTACCACAAAATGTTGTTTTGAGAACTTCTTCACTCAAAGATGTTCTTTACAGCAGTGATGAATTTAGAACTAAATGTATAAGAATGTTATTTACAACCACTGCTATGGAAGTATTAGCTCAAAAGTTCATTCATTCATGCTAAAAGATGAGAAATATTCAAGATCACACATTGGACCAAATTGACAATATTCATATGATCTTTAAAATATGAAATGTACTTTCACAGATTATGCTTTTGTGTACATAAACCACACATTTCTTTCAGTAACATAGTGTGCACTCAGCTTCGCTTCAATTAAAACAATATGATACAATACTAGTTCTTTGACTTAAACAAAACACATTGTTCTGCTTTTTCACCACCCTTTTTTACTCCACCGAATCTGTTGAATTGATAGTTTTTCCTCCCCTGGTGACATATAAACATAGCCGTGTTGTGGTGGCCCAGACGTCTCCCTGTAATCGCCTCGGCCTCGCACACTGCAGTAATTGAACTGTAGTGTGTAGAGTTACCTGTGACGAGCCGTTCTATTGGACGGAAAGGTTTAGAGGTGAGTTTTTAAGCTCTCTGCTTCAGCCTGCTGTTCCCACTCTGACCCACAGATGGCGATGGTGCTCTTCCCACAGCTCTTGATGAGAGTGGTTCCTAAAGCATAAAGAAATGAGAGTTAGTTGTAGTTAAACCATGCTCAGCCAGTTTTAATTATTTTACTTGTGAGATTTTGAGACACGCCTCATCCCAATCTACTGCTATTGTTCTGTACTCGGTGAACAATCAGGCAAAAACATTCACCACCTACTGCAATTTTCACCTTTAGAAACAAGAACAAGTTTAAACTTCTTCAGAAATTGAGCTACACAATACATTTAAGACCCGGCCCACCAGACCTTTATAAGAGAGCTGATTTTCAATTATTAGGGTTAATATGTTGCATTGCAGTAAAAGCGTCTGGGCTGCTATGGAACGTTATGCCTCATTTTAAAGATTATTCCCAAAGAAAATAACCACATACTTTACTACAAAATTTGAAACCAACATGTAATTAGAAATAGTTCAATGAAAATGTTTAATCTTTTATAGATCAGTTTACAATTGCCATCCCCACTTCACCCAAACAAACAGTAACTGAATTCATTTGATTAAAATCTACTTCTCCACCACATGGAAAACAGAAACGTGTCAAAATAGTAGAATCAAACTTCTAACTTTCTTTTAATCCACAGTTCTCTGCAAAACGTGTTGACGGTAAAAGCAAGAAGGTCCTTGGTTCGATTCCACCTTCAGGCGGGTGGCCTTTCAGTTTGGAGTTTGCATGTTCTCCCTGTGTCTGCATGTTCAAAAGTTCAGGGTGAAAAGTCATTCTTACAAACAGCTCATCTCTAAAGCAAAGACATTAAAAAGTTTTTGGTCAAAATTCTTGTCTTTTTCCTCAATGTAAAAAAGTGCCATTGGATTGCTTCCATGTGATGGTGTTGATGTTCACATACAAACCTCCTTTGTAGTTGTCTGGTTTTTGATGACTGCGCTGATGAAGAGTTGTTGCATAAAAAGAGTGGCTTTCTGCTTTGCTCTTTGCAGAAGGGTTCTAAAATGTCACATGTGGTGTAATGCACATTAAGAACAAATGAAAGATGCCGACTGAGCACTTACTGCAAATTATCCCTGCGTCAAGTATTTTGGCATTTCAGTCTCAGCGCCTCATCTGCCTCATGTCTCCAAAGTGGATGTTCTCTTGACTGTCTGAGACTCTAACTTATTCATCACAAAATATATACGTAAACTATTCTCAAGACTCAGATAAATGGAGGCAGACGTTTCTCTTCTGATTGCAGCGTATTGTCTTTGTCCAATTCTGTCTTTCTTTGAACCACAGAGCACTTGTCAGAGAGTAAAACCTTTTGGACGCCTTTGTATTTTTTGGCTGAGTGGGTAGCGCTCAAGAAGGTCAGACCTTTCTGTGTAGAGTTTGCATATTTATCCCTGTGTCTGGGTGGGCATTATGATGTTTGACCAAATGGCAATGACACATTTCTCTACAGGGACAGTACAGAATATCCAAACATTTTCCTTTTTCTCAATGTAATCAGGTGATATTGTGTCTTTTGTATAGACATTAAAAGCGTTTTGGAAGTCTTTAAAAGGAAAGCGTGTGGTTTAAGGCCGGGACATTTGGCGCTTCCACTCTTTGTTCTCAACCTTGCTCAGCTTTGGGTAACGTAAATAAGTAATGTTTTTTTATATAGCGCATTTTATAGACCACGGTCACCAAAAGCGCTTCACAATGTTCAGAGTTCAGATATTGTTCCGATCATTCCACACACGGTGATGACGGAAGCGAGTCGCCGAACACACTGACGCATCATCCCCCAATCAACACCATCCATTCACTCTCTCATTTACGTTCATACCTATTGTGCATGTTTTAGTGGTAGGGGAAACCGGAGCACCCGGAGGAAACCTACACAGACACGGGGAGAACATGCAAACTCCACTCAGAAAGGCCCTGTTCCGACCGGGATTCGAGCCCAGGACCTTCTTGCTGAGAAGCGAGAGCGCTATCCACTCCGCCACCATGCCGCCCATGGTTTAGGGTCATGGTTTAAGTTTTTTTGTATTTGCCACCCCCTGTATCTTATTTAGTTCTACTTCCTGTTGTCTGATTATCGGCCCCGCCCTCATGTGTATCACCCGTGTCTCATTAGTCTTGTGTATTTCAACCCTGTGTGTTCCTTCTCGCCGTGTTCCGTCATTGTCATGTCCACCATTTTGTTTAGTTCTTGTCTTCATCCCTTGTTTTGTTACTTTTTGGTATTTTTCACCCAGGATTTAGCCTTGTATATTACGTTTATTAAACCACTTATTTTTGCAGTCCTGCATTTTGGGTTCTTCCTTGTTTTTCACCTCATGACAGCCTGCTTTGATATCACTTGGAACGACAATAATCCAGATACATTTTAATAGCAGTGTAATTTCTATTCCGCTTCTTTCTTCTCTGCCAATACACACACACACTATACTCATGCGCTCCCAAACTACTCCTCCACATCTCGGCGTCTTCAGCCCCCCTTCCATGACGGGAATGGGCAGTCCACCGCGGCATTAACCTCGCCATCACCTCGCCGTCTCGTCTCTTTTCATTGGGCCTCCTCTGTAATGGCTGCGGAACGGCTTTTCCACTCTGGGCACAGATGGTGGAGCCACGTGAGACTATACAGGGACCGTCCAGGCTTTGTGCCAACCACCCCTCCTTACCCCTCCCTGCCTCCGCCCCCTCCTGAGCGGGCTGCAGGTAGGCTCTGTGTGTGTGTGGATCTGTACTGGGGCAACGACCACGATATCTACTGTGATGTTTGAATTAAGATGTTAGCTTCCTTAAGACGTAATCGTTTTATTCTACAATTTGTTCTACCGTCTGTCATAATTTTGTTGGAAAGGTTTTGAAATGGGGGAGAGCGTGAGCGCCACGCGGCAACTTTGGAACATAGTATTTATTGTCAAACTTCTCCAAACAGATGCCATTGAATATTAAGAGAACTCCCATCTCTGTCAGGTTGGCTATAAACTTATTGAACGTATTTAAAACTCAGAATGTCTATGATTGTCTTGCCTGTTCTTTGGTGGAATTATGCCCAAAACAAGTCTGAAATTAAACTGAGATTTGCAAAAAAAGATGTGATAGATCTATGAAACTATTTACACATTTTTACGGTCCTTAAAGCTGGGATACGCAAATTCACATAAAAATCAAACTTCTAACAAGATAAAGACAGTTTGTTATGGTTAGATTGTTCACACCATCTGACTTTTCCAATTCTCCTTCTGCTGGAACAAACAGCATGTATTTTTAATCAGCCAAAAGGAAAATATTTAAATGAATAACTAAAAAAAAAAGCTTTTATTTTAATTGGTCACAGAATCATTTCTGTTTCTACTAAAGTAGTTTTATTCCAGTATATGACACAAATCTCCTCAGATTTTCTCTTATTTTCTGTTTTCTTAAATAAACTGATCTCGCTCCCTTCTCTGGTGTTATCATTAGGGTAGTAAAGTGTAAATTGGTGTTTTTATATATAATTTTTTTCTTTTTTAAAGTCCTGAGTAGCCAACTAGCCCTGGCACTTAATAAATGCCTGACTGAGTGGTGCAATTACAGGGGATGGCTCCATTAAGCCATTTACATTTGCTCAAAGTTAAATTGCCTTTAATTAGCTCTATTTGGAGAGCTGGGGAAAATGAAAGGCATATGTATGATGGAGATAAGCCAAGTGCGTACAGATACACAAACTGCTCACATCTAAGTCGAGGCAGCGGCTGAACCGGAGCCAAAACCTTTCAGTCCCTCTTTTACTCAGCGCACTGCCAATCCTCTCAACATTATTGCATGGCTTCACTTTTTAATTTCATATATAGGCTCTTTATAGTTTTTATGGATGCCAATAACTGACAAATTTGTTGGCGTATCTCACAATTGTTATAACTTAAGACTCCAATCACGCTGGAAATGTCTGTCAACTACTGGGTAAATGCGACTGGATGGATTGAGCTGGTTTGGTGTGTGGATGGGATGTGATGGTGGGAAGAAATGTAGTTATACGTGCTACCTTTGCCAGACTCTTTAAGTTGGAGCAAAAAGTATTATTCATGAAATTAAAAAGTTTATGCACTCCAGCTTTAATCAGCTCAGGACACTTGACCAGTCCATAATTCTATAGTGTTTCCCATCACTGTGTACCAAGGGGCCGCGAGGACACATGTTCATGCCTCTGTCAGCACATCGGGAACCTGCAGCACGGATGATGGGCGCGGGCGAAGTGAATGTGAAGAGGAAGATCATGGCACAGTGGCGTGTGGGAGCAGAGGGGGACGGTAGGGAGGCAGCGATCCTCAAGAGGAGGTACAGGTACACACCCCTCGTGATCACACTGGACACGGTGCAGACCTTCTCTGTCGCTCTGGGGCAGAAGCAGCGCACACACAGAAACCCTGGTAAATGTACTGTAAATACCGTATATATGATGGCACTCTGCTTAGTTCTGCGGACTCGGTAAAGCATTGGCATTTGGGCCTGAAGGTCGTGGGTTCGATCCCCCCCACGAGACCTACTTGAACTGCTCCCTCTCATGTCTGTTGTTGTTGTGTCCACTTAACCCCATGTTGCCTGAAGCGCTAGCTGAAAGACCAAGGCTGTGTCACTGTTAACAGAGCAGCCATCTTCCTGTGGACCCACCACCTGCAGAGGATCAGCGAGGGACTGGTGCTATGAGCATTGGCTGGCAGCTCTCTTTGCCACCCTCCCGACCCAGAAATGGAATAATAAGGGGAAGAAAATGAATGAATTAATTAATGACTTTTATTGTACTAAAGCTTTTAATCTGCTTTCCCACCCTTTTCTCTTTTCTCCATGAGATCGACCTTCACTAAACAGAAATGGCCGCCACAAGCAGAGCTCCATAAGCCACACTTTCCTAAATAACACTTTATTTACTTCTGCAAAGATGCAGGTATTAAACAGAACAGGAACATTAGTCTAATGATGAATTATTCTTTTCAATAATCATTTTAAAATATTTTGTGTATTTATAAAAAACTGAGAAGAGATCTACTTGAAGTGAAAAAGTGGATGAGACTAGATCAAAGCACTTCTTACATTAGGTTTTCTACACAGAGTAAAGTCGGAGAACCTATACGTGAATAATACTTCTTGTTCATTCTCATCAAAAGTAAAATTTTGTGAAGAAATCAGACCAAAGGCTCTTTGTGCGATTGAGAACAGTTTTACTCTAGCAAACTTGTAAGAGCCTTGTGAGTCAATATGTGAAGCTTTAGGCTGATTAATCACTACAGGCATGGTATTTTTCATCCATAGACAAAACAAATAGTGGAACCAACAAAATAAACACAGCCAAATTTGAACCCAAAGCTACAGAAAACAGACTTCAAGCTGTCCTGGTTACTTACTGCTTGTTATTGGAAATGGCGTCTTGGACATAGCCACCGTGTTTACTTTAGAATTGCACCAATATGTCAGAGTTTGTTGTAAGAAAGCTGCCACAGAGCTGCTCAGATAGATGTGATGCTTGTGGCTGAAAAACCTCTCATGTATTAGGCTCAGCGCAGCAGGACAGATATGAGCGAAAAGAGCACTGCTGTATCACTACGTGTGACTCAGGAGATGTGTGTTTGGCTCATGCTGTCCCAGGTGAACCACTCACAACATACAAACAAAAATCTGACCTCCAGACAAAAGTTTGGGCAGCTACTTTGATAATCATAAAAATGCTGCAATTTGACACTGCAAAAAGTGATGAAAAACAAGCCAAAAATTGCTCAAATTCGGCAAAGAAAGGGTAAGATAGACTTTTATTCGTCCCACAGTGGGGAAATTTCAAAGTGTGTCTTAGTATGAAATTTCCGTTTGTTTTTCTTGTTTTTAAAAGTTACAAGAAATGTCTCCCTTGGAATGAGAAAATAAAGCAACAGTTCTTAAAATAAGACTAAATTGCTTTATCCCATTGGCGAATGAGTCATGTTTTAAGACTCAAGATGAACTCAATTATAGATAAAAACCACTTGATTCAAGCAATTATTACCTAATATTTGATCATTTGTATTTAGTATGTTTAAAGGGCTTTATGCAGGACATTCCACAGGATTCATTTACTTTGTACACTGTGGTAGATAAATACTAGGGCAGTCAAAATTATCGCGTTAACTCACGTTAATTACATTTTTCATTAATGCGGTTAAAAAAAATTAATGACCCGCCCAGTTATCCATATTATCACTCCGTACACATGTACCTGTGTGAGATGGCAACAGAGCAGGTCTCTGGGAATTCAAGTTTTATTTTATTCATCCCACAGTGGGGAAATTTTCAGTGTTGCATCACAAGTTATAGAACAGTAGGAAAGAGGAGCACACAGCACAAGATAAGTGAACAACAGCTATACTAATTAAAATTTAAAAAATCTCGGACGGATGGGCTATCATCAGATAAATTAGAATATATAGTGGTCATTGTCGTCCTGAAATAACATTAAAGAAACATAAAAAAAAAACACATTTCTCACATACAATCCAGGTACTGAGGAATGTATCCATTATTTCCGCATTATATGATTTTAGTGTTTGTGTTCCAACCACAAAAAGCTGATTTTGTATTATGCGACCCAACATCCCCTATCCCAACAATCACTTCAATTCACGTGGTACAACAAAACGACCGCTCTTTTTTTTCCCTGAATCTTTTGCAACATTTTTAATATCGCAGTTAACTAACAACAGTGACATTTACAACTCCATTGCATTTAGCATTGTGCTTGGCTGTAACACGAAGCCAAGACTTCACAGCACTCCACAGAATTCTAATTAGTAAAAGTACATCTATCTTAAATATATTTTCCCTGGGCCTTTATGTATTTTCTATCTGCTCTTTTCATCTTTAATGTAACTGCAGTGTAGATCTCTGAAAGTTGGTTTTTCTAAGAGTGGTAAAAAAAGAAGCTGTTTCCTGGCTCCACACCGCAGGCAAATGCAAATGTGTTCAAACTAACACATTTGTGCGTTCTGAGGATGATGTTCAGCCTCAGCAGCAGCTTTTGGGGTATTTTGCCTGACGGAGGTGATTTAAAAACTCACTGGTGTCATGAGAATTACTGCGTAGTACTTTTCCCTCCAAACGTTCTGTAGCTCCTCTCCTGACTCATGCACTTTGAGGCCTCTCATTGTTAAACAAATATCAGGGGTTTTCAAACTAGGAATCTTACAGGTCTTGGTACTTAGGTAGTACTTGTTCCTATTCACACAACAGAACTAGGGAAAAGTGCCAGACTTTAGCTTCTGCTCTGGCACAACCTTTTGCCGACACAGATATATCCACCTCGATTCTAAATTAGTAAATCTAATTTTCCTCTGTATATTAAATCGCTCCCTCATTGTAGTCTAAAGACACATTTATGCCTTGGCTTTTAACACCAACTGAGTTTAACTTTTTTTTCTTTTTTCTTTAGTGCATGTGCAGCACTTGTTGTAAATGTGCTATACAAATAAGGTTGATATTGACATTGCACAGTAGTCCATACATGTAACCCCTGACTCTCTGGATTGTAGCTTTTGATTAATATCCATTTCATATACACACACTCATTCACCCTGAACTATTGTACATAAGGGTGGGGAAACCGGAGCACCTGGAGGAAACCTACGCAGATAAGGGAAGAACATAAATACTCCAAACAGAAGGGGCCTGTCTAAAGGTAAACTCAAACCCGGGACCCTCTTGCTATGAAGCACTTTTGCTAACCACTGTGCCACCATAATGTATGTGTGTATTATACATGTACATATTTGCTTGCTTGAGTTTTTCTCTTTCCTGCCGAGGGACTTCAGATGTAAACTCTGTGCAATGAAATGGAAACAATTATGCTCTAAATCACCATTGTCTCTTTTTAAAAATAAAATACATAAAAAAAACCTGTATGACGGCCATTAATAACAGTAGGTACAATTAAATGTTTTAACAGAGTAATTGGATTTTGAATTATACAGTAACTTAACACATGATTATGCATCTGGACCTACCGAGTAAATTGCCATTAGATTCGTCATGAAAGTTTGTCAAGTAGAATTATTCATGTTAACTCTCCAACCTAACACACATGTATATATTCCCATTGCTCTAAATAAATCCAGTTAGACCCTTTCTCTCATGAACGCAGCCTGAGAGAACTGGGTGGTTCCTCTGACTGTCAGGATCTGGGAGAGCAGAGTTCTGCCACAGGTGTGTGTGAAAACGCTTATAGACTGTTGAAATCTAGAGAGAATAGTAACGCACACCACTAGTTTTGAAACCAGTATACAGAAGGGGAAGATGAAGGCAGAGGAGGCAGCAGAGAGGGGCGCCTGGGCTAAATAATCACATTTCTATGCACCCATGACGGCGGAAAAGCTACCATCTGGGACAGGGCCACAGATTTGCATTACAATATAAATGGGAAGTTGCTGGAGCTGAAAGGGTGATGTGAAGTCGTCTGAAAGTCACTGACAGGTCCCCCCCATATACAGTATACACACACACACACACACACACACAAACAAAAGCACACACACATGCACACACATCTTCAATATTACAGTGCATTCATTTACAGGAGCCAAACGAGGATTTTTCTGTAGATACAAAACATATGGATGGGAATATTCAAAAATAGTCCAATATTTTATTAAAGCCTGGGTGCCTATTACTTCTTCTTTTTGCTTTTGCCTTAGTTTATAGTTGAAAGACAACGACGGGTTGTAATTACTTGTTAACATGTTTCGGCTGCAGACCAAAACAGGTGACAGACAATACATAAAGATTACCTACAGATACTTTTATCTTTAGATCAGAATTTTCAGATATCTCATTTATCTCATATCTCAAAATAATGCCTCTGAGGACAGATACTTGTTCCATTGACAAATGTTAAAAACATACTCAAATCATAAGAATATTCCCAAATTGAGTGAATTGCGATGAAGGGTGCAGTCATCTAGGTCCCCACAATGCAAACAGGTCTGCATAAGTGCCTATCCACCGGTATGTACATTTGCTAAACACGCACACTCTGGAGACAGTAGGCACTTTGTTGGCGCACATGATGCAAACAGCGTACTTTAGTCACTCCGCTGCCCCCCATCACCGTCACTGCCACCGCCTTCCCTCCACTTCTAACACTTTTCATCTTTCTTCCCAAATGCCACGTCCCGATGCACACGTGGAGAGACAGGCTGATAGCGCGATGCTTCGGCGGCTCCTCTTTTGAGATGCGATCTTCAGTGAACCCTCTGAGCTGTGTTCACATACCAGGAGCCGAGGCGAGAGAGGAAACAGGCGGCTGGGAGGGAGGGAGGGAGGGGGGCAAAAGCTGAATATACTGCACAATAATCTCTGCTTTAAATATGCCCCCCAGCGTGAGCAGCAAATGTTGTTATCCCATGCTTTTATTGGAGGTGCTTCCTTATGTCTAAACGCGTAAATACATTTGCTCTATTGCGCTAAAGGCCAGTGCTGTTTTCTATTGTTTTATTGAAGCTGTAATACATTTACAGTTAGGCCCAGTGGTTCTTGGAAGCCGTAGACGACACAAAACAAGGACGTTTGGAAAATGATATAGAGGGTAATGTGAAAATCAATCCAAGAGCAAGAACTATCGCAGCTTCGTACCAAGAATATGTTTTTGAACCCATTGCCGCCCGCTCTCCCTGTGTCTGGATGGATTTTGTTGTGGTGTTTTGTGGCGATGGGAGTTACTTGTAAATTTGGTTTCAATCAGATACTGTGGGGATGAATTTTCTTGTAAGCCAGTGCAGCAGGGGTCAGTTTTACAGAGTGGCCGGCAAGTGCGTCATGCCACGTGGAAAAGACACGCCCTGATGACATGGTGATTGTTAGTGTCCAAGTTTATCGTCTTTGTGGCAATGCAGTAGTAGCATATTTTGTCACACATCAAAAACATTAGATCTTTGGTCACATGTTTTCAAAGATCTTGTACAAAAAAAAACGTGAATCGTGTGTATTAAGAATTTTAGTGCCAAAACCTGACCGAGAGGGGTCAAGATAACCCATATTACAACTGTGGCACTATGTCCAACAATGACACATTATACAGTTCCTCATGTATTAAGTGTAATCCAATTCAAGAGTTCTGTTTAACTTACACTTGCATGCATTAATAGTTCTGGTGCCCTTAAGTTGTTTAGGTAAACCGTTCCATAGATCAACTGCTGACTGATACACAACGACCTCTTAGTTCTACTCTTTGCCATGAGTATTTGTAGCAGATCAGTTCTTCTGAGGTTTTATCATTCTCTAATGATGTTGTTTTGTTATTGATTGACTGCGGAACCTTCCGCAGTCAACCATTGGTTTTGTATTTCTTTATTCCGTCATTTTTTTTGACACGTTTCACAGCTTTCACATTTTCAACAATTTCCACAAGTTATACATCAAAACGTTCCACATGTTTGGGAGATTATTGCTATTACTTTTGGGACTTCAGCGATTTCCGGTTTTTCCGCAATCGGACAAAAATCTGCATTGAGAATTCTGCAATGCATTTTAATAGGCCCATGCATTTTAATAGGACTTCAGCTCTTTCAGACATTTCTACAGTTTCAATGATTCAACAGTTTCAAGGATTCAACAGTTTCAAGGATTTCAGCAGTTTCAAGATTTCAAGAGTTTCAAGGACTTCAACAGTTTCAAGGACTTCAGCAGTTTCAAGGACTTCAGCAGTTTCAAGGACTTCAGCAGTTTCAAGGACTTCAGTGTAATCATGCAATCCTAATAGGGATTTTTCCATGTAAACCAGTATAATGCAACTTAATAGGGATTTTTCCATGTAAACCAGTTATAATGCAACTTAATAGGGTTTTTTCATGTAAACCAGTATAATGCAACTTAATAGGGTTTTTTTTTTCCATGTAAACCAGTATAATGCAACTTAATGGGGATTTTTCCATGTAAACCAGTATAATGCAACTTAATAGGGGTTTTTACATGTAAAACCAGTATAATGCAACTTAATAGGGTTTTTTTCCATGTAAACCAGTATAATGCAACTTAATAGGGTTTTTTCCATGTAAACCAGTACAATGCAACTTAATAGGGATTTTTTCCATGTAAACCAGTATTATGCAACTTAATAGGGATTTTTCCATGTAAACCAGTATAATGCAACTTAATAGGGATTTTTCCATGTAAACCAGTATAATGCAACTTAATGGGGATTTTTCCATGTAAACCAGTATTATGCAACTTAATAGGGATTTTTCCATGTAAACCAGTATAATGCAACTTAATAGGGTTTTTTCATGTAAACCAGTATAATGCAACTTAATAGGGTTTTTTCATGTATAATGCAACCTAATAGGTTGCATTATACCACCAGACCAAGACCCAAACGAAGACTCAGACCACCACCAGATAATGACCACAGACCAGGTTTCCTTAGTTACAGGAACCAAATTGTTTCAGCGGTGAGGGGATTTTTCAGTTTCAAGGACACTTTCAATACATTCAGTAGTTTCAAGGATTTCAGCTGTTTAAGAATTTAACCAGTTTCAAGGATATCAGGAGGTTCAAGGATTTCAGGAGTTTCCACACTTTCAACAGTTTCCAGGTTTAAAAAAGTTTCAAGGATTTCAGGAGTTTCAATGTTTCAACAGTTTCAAGGATTTCAGGAGTTTAAAGGTTTCAACAATTTCAAGGACTTCAGGAGTTTCAAATATCTATCAAGTATTTTAACAGTTTCAAGGCTTTTTAAAGGATTTCAAGGATTTTTTTTAGCAGATTTCCACATTAGATCTGTTCCGCAGTCAATCGCAATGGCTTCAGCCATTGCAAGTTTCTAGTTTAAATTGAACATTGATAGTATTGTATAAATGTAAATATTGTCCACAATATCCACAATGTTACCCCGTCTTTTTTGGAGAGGATTTGTAAGACAAAAATAAAAATAACAAAACATGCTTGTGAATCCTGGGCTCCAATTGGCCAGTCGTTTTCTGCCAGAAGCTGATTGATTGCGATGCTTGGGCGCTGATTGGGAGGAAGCTGAAGCAGTCCTCCAACAGCACGCCTTCACCCGCAGGCCCCGCCCATCCCTAGCGCTATCCTCGGGTCAAATTCATGGAATGTTTAGACTCAAACAGAGTTGGAACTTTATTAAAACTAACCAGTTTTTGTTATGGCAAAAAAGAAACGTCCTGCATTCTCAACATTCTGCGTAGGTTTCCTCCGGGTACTCCGGTTTCCCCTACCCCTAAAAATATGTACAATAGGTCTGGCATGCGCCTCCTGTTCGGCGACCCCGCTCCCATCTCTGTCTGGAGTGAGAGGACAAATGCCCAAAAAATAATAATAACAATTGTAAACCGCTTTGTGACCCTTGTCTGTGAAAGGCGGTATATAAATAAACATTACTTACCTACATTCTCAACAGCTGATCGATTCATAAAAAGAAAATTCAACTCAATTCAATTTATTCTTGTATCGCCCTAAATCACAACAGTATTTATGTCGGAGAACCTTACAAAACCGTTGGATTTGCCAACACAGATCAGATAATCAAACAGTTCAAACATAAGAAATGCAATGATGAAAAAAAAAACATATCCACAAGGGGTGGATACATTCATGTATTATCAAAATAATTGTCAGTTACAGGTGTAGGCAATAGCATTCATCACGCCTCACATCAAACAGGCTTTTGGTTCGATCCCTGCACATTAATAATGATCTTAAATCTAAACTGTACTGAATAGATGTATAAACCGACCAACCCAAGCTTCAAAGTCCCACTTCAGTAGACATAATTGATTTGGACCGGGTGGAGTGCAGACAGCATAACACTGACCGTTCCAGTGGTCTCCGTCTGTGACCCGGCCATCGCACCTCTCCAACTGACGCTGACCCTAGCATGTTTGCTGTTGTTTTTCCCACTGAGCTTGCTAGTTGGCTCGTTGGATTCATTATTCAAGCTGTATGATTTACACAGCAGCTTTTCTCATCAAACTTTAAAGATGACACTCCTCGTGACATTTGTTTTGACAGCATGCGTGCTTTTTGCTGCAGATTATTTGCCTATGGAAGCGTTGGACATGACGATAGCAGAATATTGTATCGGAGCTGCACAGTTCTGAGAGCCAGGCCTTGTGGCAGTGGCATGTGTTCTGGCATCTGACAAAACGTCATATGGTGGATGTAAAGCTGAGGAGTCGCTGCCTGCGGAGGTGGTTTGGCTTCAGCTGTCCACACTTGGACTTGTAGTAAGGACACACTAAAATACTTTTATTAGACTGAATGCAAAAGTGGAATATCTAGAAAGTACAATACAGTAAGTATACTTTGTTTACCCCTGCATTTGGTCCATCCTTTAATGCAAGTAGAGCAATGTCACTCTCTGGTACACGTTTTAGACAATGGGGGAAATTGGAGCACCTGGAGGAAACCCATCCAAAAACAGGGTTGACCCATGAAATCTGCAACCTTCTCGCAGTGAGACATGAGAGCTGGATGGATATAAAACAACTCCAGGTTTGTTTTTATGCAAGAACAATAAATATGTTTACAAATGGTAAAAAAAAAACTATCCATCCATCCATCCATTTTCTTCCGCTTTATCCGTTGCCGGGTCGCGGGGGCAGCAGTCTAAGCAGAGACGCCCAGACTTCCCTATCCACACACACCTCCTCCAGCTCGTCCGGGGGGACCCCAAGGCGTTCCCAGGCCAGCTGAGAGACATAGTCCCTCCAGCGTGTCCTGGGTCTTCCCCGGGGCCTCCTCCCGGTGGGACGTGCCCGGAACACCTCCCCAGGGAGGCGTCCAGGAGGCATCCGGAACAGATGCCCGAGCCACCTCAACTGGTTCCTCTCGACGTGGAGTAGCAGCGGCTCTACTCCGAGCTCCTCCCGTGTGACTGAGCTCCTCACCCTATCTCTAAGGGAGCGCCCAGCCACTCTGCGGAGGAAGCTCATTTCGACCGCGAAAAAAAAACTATCCATGTCCAATTTAGTAAAACCATGGACGTCGAATGAGGCGGGAAGAAAAAGAATTTAGTCTATAACTGGATGCAACATCTTCTACTCCGTTGACGCTGTATGTAATCTAAAACTAAGACACAGGCAGCAGATGCATTTAAGAGCACAGGTAAAAGTATGCTCTTTTAGAAATGTCTCCATTGTGAGATCAATAAATATTATCATTTATTTTTGTACACATACTCAATATTGAAATCTAAACTTTTGCATAATGTGTATTTTGATAAAGCTGAGATTTATCACAAGCCTAATACCTTTTAAACAAAGATTTTCTGAGGAGGAAGGAGAGAAGCCTGACATTTGGGCATGTTAAGCTCTGAATGGTGGAGTGTTGCATTCAGGGACAGAGGTGACAGTAGTGACTTTTTCAATCCATTCAAGTGGCGTTTCTGCAACTGTGCGGACCTTTCAGCCCACCATCTCATTGTTTTTCGCTTTGAATCACTCCGACTCAAAAACAGGGGAAAAAAGAAAAGCAGATAATGGCTGCCTTTGTCAAGCGCGCCTTTGAAATATCACATATTAATAGACGCCATTTCAGAACTGATGTTGCCATTAAGTTTGAATAAATCTCAACTACGGCCATAACATTTACATTCAGCACAAGGTAATGCGTCTTCTCCACGTACAGAATGCGCGTCTCATGAGTGGAATTAAAAAGAAATTAATGTCTGTGTTATCGGAACATTATAAGAATGCTGATTGAAAAAAAAAAAGAAAAAAAAGTCACCCAGGTGGCTTTGTTTTTCCACTACGCTCCTCTGCGCTACTCGCTCTTGTTCAAACATAGACGGGGAAAATCAAAAGGCACAAAAGATGAGTTTTTTGTTGTGA